TATGTGATAGGCCTACATTTATAATGAATATTTACCATAAATTAAAGGTATCTTATATTATTATATATGTTATTATAAAACATGTTTTAGTTAAGGAGTTATTGATACTTCAAATGCAAAATGATGATATAAAACCTTGATAAAAATACACTTTTAAGTACTAATCCTTCATCATCAAAGTCATCCAAGTTATGTCATTTAGGTCTTTTTTCAAAATTACCTCTTCAATTAGCCTAATTTCTTTATTTATCATTCTTATTACCATGTCTTTACGCTCTATCCAACCTCACATATATATATTACTAATTGCTATTTTAAACCTCTATAGCATTTGTGTTATCCTTTGAATCTAAAATTTGAGGTTGTTTGTCTTCATATTTGGTAGTGTTTCACCATTTTTTTTAGCCATCGTGAATCTACAAAATTCATTAGTGGTGAAAAAAATTATGTTTCCTCACTCACTCCCTCATACACTTCTCTAATTTTTCATTCAAAGCCTTCAATTACAAGTCTGTATTAATGACATTTGCAAAGATAGTGTCAAGAAGAAGCAAAGATATGACAAGAATAAAGTTTATAATAAGAAAAATATTGATTTATATCTGAATTGCAATCTGATCTTCTAGATCAAATTTGACAAAATGTGAATAGAGGTGTTTTTGAAGTAGTAACCAACCAAAAAAAAATACATTGATTTTTAATGGTACTAACATGAAATTACAAGGCCTTTCAATTGATGAATGTAACAGATCATTTTAAATAAAAAATAAAATTTTATAATGTGTAACTTTTTTGTACTCTAAGAATAAACACAATTAAAAAACATAAACAAGGATAAACATAAGAAGAAAAAGAAATATGATGAAAACTAACTTATGCGATTCTAACCAAAACATATAATAAAGAAGAAAAAAATTATCATGAAAACAAATAGATAACAATAAGAAAGATATAACCTAATTTTAGAGTCTAATTTTGATACCAACTAACACAAACCTCATAGTCACACAACTCACAACAAATATGATAACTTCCCCAAGAAACTCAAATAATCAGGTTTGATTAAACCTTGACCCAAGGTTAAGCTGTAACTAAGAACCACAGGTATTGGATGATTGCAAATAATGCTACAAGGTTAGTTATATCTTGATAAATCTAATTTACATGTTGTCCCAATTAAAAAAAAAGTTTGCTCAAGAAAAATTGAATTTCATTAATATCAAAAGGCTGTATAAATTTACATCAAAATAAGACATGATATAGTCCTATAATAATAATAGGTTGCAAATCAAAGATCCTTGACTAAAACTCAACTAAGCATAAGTCTAACGCCTAAAACAAGTCTAGGCATTGATTTTGGGCCAAAACAAACTAAAAAAAAAAAAGCTCTAAAACTAAAATATAATTATCCTAAATATTAATTAAAACATTAAATGAACCTTAAGAAATATTTAGATTAATACAAGTTATAGCAACAACATTAAAATCATATTGTTTTGTATTGGATCTCTTGTAGTCGAATCTGAAACTTGCAGAGGAAAGAGTGTCCCTTTGTGTCATCTAGTAATCCTATGTCCTTACTTGAAAGATATTATTTTAAATGTTGAAGTTTCTTTCCTTATTTAGTTGAAAATATACTCTAAAAAATAAGAAGGAAAGTGGCTGAAATGCCTCATTTAAATGCCTTATTATAATCTTATTTTTTAATAAGAAAATCCTGCAAAAGAAAGGAAAGAAAATAATAAGGATAGTTCTTTAGTTCTAGCTACCCCTTATCATCCATGTTAAGGAATAATTCCTTGCATTTACAAGACAAAATATGATGGAAAATAATTATTATATGTTGTTGCTTCTCTATTTCCATGTCAAGCATGGAATATTTGCCTAACATGGAAAAACAATATTTTCCCTTCAAGTTAACCTTTGTCGACTCTTTGTTTCCTCTTTTAATATTAAGAAACATCCTCTTATAAAAAACTAAATAGATACCATGCATGCATCCTAATATAGCTAGGATATTTGATAAATCCTTTTAAAAAAAAGATCTCAACACCCTAATTAATCCAATCCAGCTATAGACTCCATATAACCCAAACTTATGCATTATCATACCCAAAATCAGAGTTGATACGAGCTCCTAACCAGCTTACTTTGTTGTCCAAATTAGACTTATTCATAAGTTGCTCAAATCTTGCTAGGGGCAACATTAATAGCTTTGGACTGAACCCCTTATCATACATAACTGAAGGCTAACCAAACCCACTCCATGCTAAAACCCTCTCATAGCTAATTGTATTTCAATTGGAAAACCAAGACAAGAAACAATATTGGTTGAATGGCCTCCCATCTAAACTCAAATATATAACTGAATGTTTAATATGAAAAATCCAAGTCTAAATTGTATCAACCCAAGGATGCGAGCCAATCTAATTTATAAAAAAAATCAAGTTATTTTTTAATAAAAATATTATAACGTTGAATCTATAAACCTAACTTATTAAAAAAGGCCTAGCCTATGCACTAGGCCTCATAATTTTTCTATATTAAAAGACAAATGAAATGTTATCTATCCTTTATTTTATTTATAAAAAAAGCACAGGTGACATGTATCCTATAACCTTAGAATTAGGCGACCGTAGGGTTGCTAAAAATCAAAGTAATGGCATTTTATATCCAAACCTTTGATTTTCAATCCATTTTCTTTTTCCTAAATATCATAGAGATATCAATAAATCCATCAATACCTCAAATAATCCTAAACTCAATGTGAATAAAAAAAATTCTTAAGCTCATATATACAATCTTAGACAATAAGAACGCTATGAATACTTCAATGAAACTCCTCTCACTAGAAGGAATCTATTAACACAAAAATTAATTATTTTGGTTGTAAGAATTAGTGTTGACTAAGATTTTTTCTTTAGACTAACATAATTTAATTTAATGACTCTCTCTCTTCTTTAAACTAAAGACAAAAAAAAATTATTTCAAAATTGAATTTTAAAAAATTAAAGATCAATCACTTAAAAAGTATGACTTAACAAAAAAAAAATAGTGTTGTTTATTAGTGTGTTAACAATGTGTTTTCTCCGGCTAACAGCCGCCTCATTTAGTTTTTTTTCTTTAACAATAATTAGACCATGTCAACAGAAGATATAAAAACAAAAATAATTATTAGGAACAAAAGAAACAACTATTGATACTGAAATTATGGTCATTCAAGGAATCATATAGAACATTAGATTCTTTCTCCGATTCCTAGACTAAGTTATTAGGATACATTGAGAATTCTTAGTATTATTAATGTGAAACTTGTGATCATGTAGTTACGCAACCCATAACAAAATTAACAATAAATATTAGAAAGTAAAATAATTAAATTTGATAGAAATATGATACAATAAAAACATGTCTTAAGACACCAATACTATTAAAATAAAAACCTCCACCCAACAAATAGCAATTCACGAACAAGTACAATCTAATAAGTTAGTTATACTTTAATAAGTTTAATAGTTCTTTGTTTGATCAAGAAGAAAAGTGTTGCATAATGCAAAACATAAATTTATTCAAAATTGAAAAGCTTAAATTAAATACAATCTAAATAGCTTTATTTATAATAGGTGAAAAACATACTAAACAATTCTTAAAATAAATAATAAAAGAGTTATTAAAAAAACAAGTATAAGAATTATAAATCAAGGAAACTAATATAAATCATGTGTAGTAACTTCTAAATTTTATTGCAATGCATTTTTTATGTTAGATAAATCTAAAATTTTAACATGGTATAAAGCAAGATCTTCAAAAATATCTACTAAAATTTTAACCCGATTCAATAATTGAATAAAAAATATGTTTATTAGCATAAAATTATACAATTTTTTTTTTAATAAAAATGGAAAAAAAGCTGAATGTTCTCAGTTCCAAACCAGAAGCCATGCCCCCTGAGAAATAAGAAAAGCTGAATGCTACTCTAAGGTGAGTCGTTTCTAATCATTTTCTTTTATTTTATCTGGAGCTGTTTCCAGCATGAGAAAAATCAACTGAATGTAATGTTTGAGCCTTATGTTTTTGTTTGCCCAGGCACTTGAGGATGCCCTCGCTAAACAAGAGGACCTCCTAACCAACATTGACAGGAAAAGATAAAGTATAAGTTTACGTACCTCTCATATTGCATAGCAAAACTGAGTGACACATGCAAACATTGTTCTAATTAACTGTTTCTTCATGTTTTCAGATTTTCGAATTTTAAATTAAGAGTTCAAGCTGATGAGGTGATAGATGTTGGGCTGACAATGGTGGACGTAGAGATTTTTGGTCCCATAATACTATGATGTTTTCAGACAATTACCGTATATGCTGCTGCTGCTGCTATTATCATACAATCATCTTCATGAGACGATTCTACAAATTGAACAAACAAACAGGCCCTAAAAGCACACAAGATTTCCAAATGATTTCGAAGAGCACACAAGATATTTAATAAATTCTTTTCGGTATTGATTCCAAGATTCGAATCCAGAAGGTCGAGCATATTTTTAAATTAAGAGTTTAGTGTCATGCTTGCGATTCTACATGCATCAAAATTTTCTAAATTTTGAGTGAGGGGGATCATCACAGATTAAATTAGAAAGGTCTGTCTCTCGATAAACCAGAAAAATAAATAAATAAAAGTAATAAAATGAAAATTTGATAGGTTTGACTACAAAGCTGCATCAAGGTTTCATTGGGCCTAAAATTTTTGGCACGCGTACCAAAATCCTCTTGACTGTCCATGCAAGCAAGCAGCTCTTCCTGCCTCGTTGAAGCTTTCATATAGAGCCTGCTCAGGAAGCATACGTGATTTAAGCCATCACACAACTAGAGCACAAACAGACATGCCGTCCCATGATAACATGCATTGAATGAAAACAGAAGCACGAGTTGAAACAAACAAAATGCATTAAACGCTTTGGAGAAGGGAGAAATTACCAAAAAGCAATATGAACAAGACTCCTCTCCCACCTTCAGCATGATACTAGGACTCACTTTAATATGAACCCCATATATCAACTACATCCTCATCGCTAACACAAGATTTCAGGGGACCATGGTGGTCTTCAGCAACATTCTCTTCTTGTTCTTCAACTCCTACTTTCTCACCCTGCTCGGGTTTTGTAACTTCACCCTGCCAGCACATCCATACATGCATTACCAATTGAGTGATTTTTATATATGAATACTAGCATAAATGTATGTGATTGTTTCAAAGGTAAAAGTTGAGCCTGCAACCATGCCATCCCCTCCCCTCCCTATTGGTGCCACTACTGCAGATTAGACTACTGCAACTACGCTGCAAGGGAAACACAGGATGAGCCAATGAAAGACAACACTATTAACAGTGATCGTTACCATCTAAGAAAGTCACAGAAGGCTGTATCTAGGACCTGCAGTAGGGCTTCCTTGACTTCTAAATCAAGTGAAGAGTTCTCGCACCGGTACTATCCTATTATGCTTGAATCTCTTTATTGTGCAAAAGCAGTCTCAGAATCACATGAATCCCAATTGGACAACCATATCATATAATCAACAGTAGGGAAATGTCCACGAGAACATTAAAAAGCATAACATGAAATATATAGTCAGATTCCAACACCAATGGGTCCGCTCTTCCATTTTTAGCAGGTTAGTCAAGCTCTTCAAAATTTATTGTAACATCTTATGCAACAGCAAACTGTATCCCAAACAAAACCAGATGACCATTTCCATGTGAGTGTTTGCAGGTGGGACCCATTCACCTATAAATGCAAAGAACACAGCATGCAGATACACAGCAATACAACATATCGATAAAACAGTAACAAATCAAGCTTCTAAACAAAGGGATATTTTGTTTTCCTTTACCTGGTAACTATAAGAGTAAATAGAGCATTTTTTTCATAACAAAACAGAAGGGGGGCAGGAAAAAAAACGCATACACTAGTTTCAGCATTTAGCTCTGCATCCTCCTCGCCTGACACATCAACTAGGTCATCTTTGTAAGACTCTTGTTCTTCCTGAGTACCAGCAACTTCTTGTAGCTGCTCAATTAACTTTTCAAAATATGAATTATCTGCAAAAAAAATCATATTATAACACACAGTATCCAACATGGTTGATCTCACAATGATTAAAATCAGTTTTAGTTTTAATTTCTTATTCGCTTGATCCTAGTGGGAATCCAGGAAAAACACATATATCATGCTTATATATAATACAATCTTTGGCCATGTATGAGAACAAATTATGGATTTTCACAATTTGATATCCTTTTAGGCTTTAGCTAAGCCAAATGTATATTTCCACTTCTAGGGGATTTACAATGAAGCTACAAATCAGAAAACTAGGAGACTTTGACTTGAGATACAGTAGAAAATGTGATACCTGGCCCATGGCCAGTCAGTAACCACTTTTGAGATGAACCCAGAAGAGAAGGGGAAAAAAACACCCAAATAAAAGATCTTGGAATCCCACTTCACTCAGTTCCCAAATAGTGCAGACACCATTGTGTAAAAGATATTAACTATACTGTAATACAAATTCAGCTGACTATGAACTGAACTTTCAAAAAAAAAATATGTAACATGATCTATTCACCTTTTGGACGACTGCTCAGAGCTTCATGGAGCCTTAAGGGGTGCTGACGCTCCTCCTTTTTATATTTTAACTTGACTTGATGCCGTGTTCGACCAGGAAAAAGTTGTTGGATCATCGATAAATCAGTCCCAAATTGTTGAATCCCCTAAAACACAACAGCAAATACATCAGTTAAAACTTGAAATGTAAGACAGGCACAAAACACTAAGCATCATGGCATTGCAAGCTGTGAATTGGCTTGAAGGAATTCATTAAGTTACATAGGATTTTTATATCTTCTCTCTCTTCTAACATCTCAAATTATATATTCAGGGAAAAGAGTCATAAATTTACACATTTTTTTTAGCTTTTCATCACTACAGCAATTATTTGGTAGTAGAACCGGAATTTGTTGCCAACCAGACATGAGAATGCACATCACAGGGAAAACTTTCCCCTGGCTCTCTGATGATGTTGTGTCCACTTAACAAGTTTTCAAAATTTTCAACTTACTGGAAGAACCAGCCAAAAAAATATTTAGACTAATGAACCTAACAAAAACTGACACTTAGCCAATCATCATGACCTCTGGTCTATCCATGACTCATTTCAAATAACCAACCTATATGCTATCTTAATGTATCATCACATAGAGCAGCTTCAACAATTTAGGCTCATAAGCACCGCAAGCAATAGTGGACGGAGTTTGCATAACTAAAATATAAACAAAAGATAGAATTTAGATCAGTTTTAATTTCTTGAGTGCAAAAATTGGAACAAATACTTCTATTTGCTTTGTTTGTCAGTAAAACATGTGGTTAATCATGGCCTTTTAAATGCAGAATTATAACTATGTTTACCTCATAAAACAACTCTGTGTCTTGCTTTGACCATCTTGAATTGGGTGCTCTGTCCATGAAAGACTGGTAGTTGAATAAAGATGAGCTTGGTTGAGCCCTAACATATGTTTGGTCATCACCATGGGTTACGTCTTGCTCCGAAGCAAATCCATCCTCTTCATTATGGGAATATTCTCCATGAAATGGATTGTCAGTGCTGCAACATAGTGAACAAAGGTTCAAATCAATACACTTTAAAACTATATATAAGCATCTTCTTCCCGTGTGATGATTTTAGGAATCATTCCTGGAGGCTGGAGCATGCAGCATTATTGTTCATACTTTTCTTTTTTACTTTAATAAGACTAGACTGTTTTTCCTTTTATTAGACAGATCAAATTTTACCTTGAGTTCTATGGATTTGGTCCAAAAGGGAAAAAAAAGGGCAAAGCAAGTGGTGTGACATGTGATGAAATGTGCTTCCAATAAAGTACATTACTAGAAGCAATTGAACAATTTTTGCTTGTTTTCTATTAGAAGAAATATGGGAAAAACATATCATGCAAACAGGGCACAAAGCAACTGCCAAATACACAGGTGACATTACAGTGGCTTCCATTTATACGCAAAATTAGATGTATACATGTACTGATTCAATCACAAGAGCCATGGCTATGTGATGCAACATAATAAAAGCTCCTCAGCTAAGTATTATTCATCAATTCACACCATACCTTTGATTGTTTGGGGGAATTTTTGATGTTGTCGTCTGCATAAAAAGGACAGGAGGTCAAGCATAGAAGCCTTGAACTTCTAATTATGCAAACATAACACAAATACAAGTATACTAATATGGAGATGACATTGATGAACCAAATCACAGTAAGTTGTTGCACAAGAGAGAGAGAGAGAGAGAGAGAGGTACACATACTGCTAACCGCTCCTTGTACTCTGCAAACAAAATGATGTCCCTGATAGGCAACCTCTTGAAATCAATCTCATCCTCTGGCATGTTAAGCAAATCCTTATTCACTGTATAAAAGAAAGCAATTTGGTGAGACTTGGATAAGAATTCATAATATCTCCTAACAACTGACACATATATATTGAGATTACCACATCTTTTGTTTCGACGAGTTGAATGAGAAAATTTCTTGCGAGGTTTTTGTGTTGATTGTTCTGGAGTGTCAATGGATTTGTTGCGCTTGCGAACTGATTTTTCATTTTTATTCACTGGTTCCTTTGATTTTTTTGAAGCTCGTTTCTTTCGAGGTGCAATTTCTACTCTGTTTTCATCGTCACTCTCTTCATCCCCTCTAGGTTCATAATCATTATCTTCTTCATCAACAGAACTACCAGGAGGTTCAGGTAACCCACCATTATCATGAGCCTCATCCAGATCATCAACAACTTGAGGGCCAGCTGCCACGGAAGTTTTTTTGGATTTCCAGGAACAATTTGATGCTGAAAAAACCTTTCTTTTTCCACTCTTAGAACACTAAAAAGAAACCAAAAGAAGTTAAACCCAGTTGTCAGAACTAAATAAGATATTTATCCATGTCAAACAGCACTACCTCCTTTTCAGGCACTACAGGAACATCCTCTGAGCACCCGACATTTGCATTAGCCAAGCAATTGCTTTCTGTAAAGTCTTTCTGATTTCGATTTACTGGAAACTCATAGGTACAAGGATCTATGGGAATAAAATCGCCTGGGTGCATAGATGAGTCATCATTATTGTCCAATGGGAGGCCACCATTGCCATGAGCCTCATATTCTGGCTCATCACCAAGTTGAGGGGTAGCGGACTGCTTTCTCGGACACCTTGATGATTTGTCATGTTCATTCATGTCACCAGCTACGGAAGCTTTTTGAGACTTCCAAGAACTACATGATACTGGGGCAGCCTTTCTTTTTCTACTACTAGAAGTCTTATAAGAAACCAAAAACAAGTTAGCACCCTATCTACACATCTAGGTAAAATATTTTATTCATGCAGAACTTATTACCTCCTTTTCTGGCAAATCAGAGGCATCCTCCCGATGGACAGCAGTCACATTATCTGAGTGAGAAGTTTCTGTAAGGTTTTTCAGCTCTTGGTTCATTTGAATCTCAGAAGTACAAGGATCTTGAGGAATAAAATCACCTAAGTGAGTGCATGGGGAATCAACAATATTATCTGATGGGAAGGAAGCAACTGGACACCCATCAATGTTTATGGTTCCAGAAGGAACATGTTGAACATTTGGTGGTGGGGCCATAACAGACTCCATGACACCTGGGGACAAGAAACCTGGAGTTTCCAAGCCAGGAAGTGCCCCTGATTCCTGAAACTAACCAAATTATTCCAAAACGTATTTGCAAGGAAGAAATTATACAATTTAAAGAAAGGCTGTAGATTCACCTCTAATTCCAACCTTCCACTATCAACCTGAACAGCAGCTTCATTGGGACTTGAAAAATCTGTCGCCACCACATTACATTTCATAAATGCTGAAAAATCAACATATTTTTGTGTAGGAAAGCTGGATTTTCCCTTTGAGTCCTTCTCACAAGAGACAGTAGCTAAAATTTCTGGAGGAGAAAGAAGAGCCTTGCCATTGTTTCCCCCTGGCTCTTTGGTCCCAGCACTCTCCATATTAGGCTCACCAACATGATCGGTTAGTCTAACATGTTCAACACCACAAGATTCAACGGGCAGCATGTTATCCAAGACAGTGGAAGCTAGACCCGCCAACTTTTCTACAGCAGTATTGGGAACAGCAGAAGCAGCTAACTCAGATGTTCCCTTCCTAGGCCAGGCCTTTACCTTCAACTGTAACTTGCCAGCAGACCTCCCTGACCAAAATAATAATAATAATTCCATCAATCATCTCATAACAAAAGCAAAAGGAAAGGGGGGGGATCAAAGATTATGCAAATGGTATATACCAGTTGATATGGCCGGTTGAGGATCCATATAATCAAAAGCATCCAAATCTAATCTCATGGAACCAACCTACAAGCAACAGAATTTCCAAAATTATCGAACTCAACCAAGCATCTTGGTGCCATATATCAAGGGCATGAGACAGTTCAAACTCTCACCTCTATGGCAGATTCTACAAACCTAGAATTCAGGCCAACATCATTTCCAGACTTCATCTCTGCAAGCTGAGTATTTGGGGGGCACACATCCTCTTCAGTTGCAATATTTTCAGATGAGGGGTTGACTAGTTCCAAGCAGTTGTTGTCACTGAAATATAAAACTTCACTGTCTTTCGATGGCTCATTACTCTCAACATTGCCCTGCTGAAGTAAAGTCGGACCATCTGGGTTCATCCTTGTATTTGCAACATCAATAGGCTCTGTGGATTGTGTTTTTTGAGAATGTGCCTTAGGTTCATCCTTGGCACATTTGGATGGAGATGAAGAGACGGGTGCTGGATTTTCATTTCTTTGCCGAGGTTTAGCCTTAGGCTTGAATTTCCCACCAGCCCTAGCTGTAGCAGAAGTGAATCCCACAGTGAATCTTTCAATAGAAGAATAGGGTTTCCATTAGTGACAGATCAACAATGCTGTGAAAGTGTATCTTACAATTATTTTTTAGAGATTTAGGAAGAATGTCATCCAGTAGATCTGAATCAAACCCCAATGAGCCCGCCTAAAGACAGAATTTTTAGGACTTATCAATCCTATGGAGGCAACACATCAAAAACAAGAAAGGAGAGGATGAGTTCTTACCACTCCTGCCGATTTCACAACGCTAGATTCCTGGTCATCATTACAACCAGATATTGCAGCCTCCGAATCCATAGCACCAACAGAGCCTGCATCATTTCTCCTAGCAGGGGAGAGTTTTGCTGCCTCCAAGCTTCCTATTTCGCAAGAGGACAAACCTTCCTTATATTTCTGTGGTTCTTTGACCCCAACCATGTCAGAGGTGGCTAAGGGACTCCCTGACTCTTCAACCAATTTTGTTTTTCCATCATTGCTTTTCAAGTGTTCCTTAGTCCCAGTAGGTGATGATGGAGACAATAAACTAATTTGACATGTCAACTTCTCATCCATGATACCAAAAGGCTGAACAGAAATTTTTGTGTCCAAGCTAGTTTGCGATGCTGCCACAGCCTTTTCCTTGGCTTCACTTGGAGGAATTGAAGGAATTGGTACAAATTCCACCTTTTTTGGTCGTGGTTTGGCCTTAGGCTGAAACTTCCCACCTAACCTAGCTACTAACAAAATTAACATCAAACAACCCACTTTTTATTTAAAGCCAAAAAAAGACCATTTGTACTTTGATTTGCCAGGCATTGCTTACCATTAGTCAAAGCAGGCTTAGGAAGAATATCATCAAAAGAGTCCAAATCAGGATCCATTTGATTATCCCAACACAATATTGATGACCAGCTATATTATCTGTCTCACAATCAAGTGGAAGCCCAGCAGAAAAACCCCCAAAAAGGGCACTAGTACTCTTCCAGCATGCTAAGGAAATCAAGAAATATAATCAATCAGAGGATTGCCAGTCTTCAACTTCCAAATTTTCTTGGAAGACGACTTCAAGAAATGAACTTATACAAACATTCCTAGCTAAACAACACTATCACTCTTCAAATTAAGTTAAGCCCTGCTCTTGAAATCTGCATGAGTTAAGAGCTCACTTGAGAACAATTTCAAACCTAAATAGTTTGCTGCCAGGTTCCAGAACCACCCATATGAGTAAGTTCATTAGAATGTCAACAGCCAAGTTATATTAAAACTCCAGGTTCGAGAACCAGCCATATGACTAAGTTCATTAGAATGTCAACAGCCAACTTATATTAAAACCTAAAAGTACCAGAGAAATGACCATCTATGATTAGATAGTGTTGGTCCACTAAATCCCAACAAATAAGTCAAACACTTACAATCAGAGCTGCAAACTCTCAAATATCAAGTGACAAAAGAAACCATAAGGTATGCTTAACAATTCAACATTCAGTAACAAGTAACAGCATAAAACCAAATTTCATGATAGCCGAATCCCGCAACTTACATCGAGGGGGCCTGTAGCAAGCAATAACCAAGAAAAACTGCAAGTCTGCAATCATTGCCCACACATCCCTGTGAGAAATAGCACATGAGGTATTTACCATAACCCTGCATTTCATAGTATCGAAGCAAAAGTACCAAATTAACAAGCATGCACAAACCTTTTCACTGATGTAACAACATCACCAGATGTGCTGATCTCTGGATCAAGGGCTCCACTTGCCCATCTAGTCATGACATACAGAGACAATGAATAAAACTTGAGTGAAGAATTACAGTACTTTTTGAAATACAGTAGCAATGCATGGGTTAGGCTTTTTTTCAATAAATGCATGGTCATCTTCCGCATGGACAGCAACAAGTTATCAGAAAATATCCTATATAACTGGAAAATATCCTATGTCCTATGAAAAACAGACAAACACTCATAACTGACGCAGACGGCTTTTAGGTAGGCACAAAGAATCCCTCGGTGGGTAAACTAACAAGAAGCGTGCACACACAGCATCGATTCATTCATTAAAGATATGGCAACATTAAAAACTCTTACACTAGTAGATATGAATATGGCAAAGGCATTTTGATTTCAAAAGTCAGAATCTGGTGTCTTACTGTCTTGCTTGGTATGTTAAGCAATGTATCGTCAAGACAATGAAAAACAATTAGCTAAGAGCAACTCTGAAATATAATATAGAGGAGTACCAAAGGCTATCAAATACAAATAAAGAGCTGCAACATCAGAGTTCATCGCAACAATGATTTCCTTTTGATAAATTTAATCCACATGCTCATTAATTGACTACGGGATATATGAAAAGCCAAAGAAACAGCAGCCACTTTAAAAATAAGTTCAGGCTAGAAAACATGATAAAGTTTGATTGAGCAAAATTTCATTAATTGACTCTGAGATTAGTAGTTGCAAGAGGAAAAAAACTGAGCTCGGCTGCTTACAATGGCTTTATTTTACAAGGTGCAAAGGATTTTTTCACATGGTCTTGTCGAGATTTAACAAAACTATTTGCCATTAAAATGACTCCCTGGCTCACCCCTGATTAGTTTCCCAACTAAGAAAACTAATTCAGAACTCAGAAGCTCCATATACAAAAAAAAA